CGGTGCCGGAGCCACTTCCGCAAACGGTGCCGCCTGTCCAGCCAGCTCCTCAACTGGGCCCTATACTGGATCTGATACCGATCCAGGAGTCGTCGTCACCTTTGTCTCCTGATAAAGCCTTGGCGGATCCCGCACCGGCGTTTCCTACTATGGATGCCTGAGCGCATCAGGATCTGCTTAGGCGTCTGGCCTCCAATCTGGGTGTCCCAGTGGAGCCAGTAGTGGAGGACACGGACCCAGTGATTGACATCCTCTCTGACAATGCGCCCACCTGCTTGGCTTTGCCACTTAATAAAACCATGGCCAAGTTTACTAACGCCCTGTGGCAGACCCCGGCTTCCCTGACCCCTACCTTAAAGGGAATCGAGAGGTGCTATTACGTTCCCCAGCCTGTTCCAGGGGCACAAACACCTGTACTCCCAGCCTGTTCCAGGGTCCTTGGTTGTTCAAGCTGCAGCTCAAAAGGAGAGGCTTCCCCAGCCAGGGCCGTCCCCCAAAGGCTAGGGAGCCCAAACTCCTTGACCTGATGGGCCGTAAGGTGTATGCCACTGGTGGGGTGCAGCTCCGCATTGCTAACCAGCAAGCAATGCTGAGTCGATATGCTTATAATACATGGCAGGCGGTGGATAAGTTTAAGGATAAGCTCCCTGCTGAGGCCCATCAAGAGTTTGCAGCAATGACCTCAAAGGGCAGAACCATCACCTGCACGGCCCTTCAGGCTTCCCTGGATGCTGTTGACTCTGCAGCCCGCACCATGGCGTCGGGTGTAGTTGTGCGCCATGGTGCATGGCTGCAAGTGTCTGGAATACCCCCGGACGTCCAAACCACAATCCCGGACCTGCCTTTTGACGGCAAAGCATTGTTTTCAGAGCACACTGACTACAGGCTCTATACGCTTAAGGACACGAGATCTATTCTCGGGTCCTTGGGGATCCACATGCCGGCCCCTCAGCGTCGTCAGCTGCTCTACAGACAGCAGGGGAGAATGCAGTCCCAGGTCCCCTGTGGGGATTACTGGAGATGCCATCCTCGTGCCCCCAGAGGAGTTGCGGGGGCGGCTGTGGGCCAATCATCCGCAAGGGTTTGTTGATGCCGCCCGAGAGGGGACAACCCCCGTGGGGTTGGTCAAGGCCCCTCTCAGCAGCCCAAGCACCAGTTTTAACGGGTTGCTAGAGAGTTGCACACTAACCTCCTACCCTAGCCCCCCGTTTGGGGCCAGCTTATTCCGGTTTACCCACGCTTGGGCAGAAATCACCACTGACACCTGGGTTCTAAAAATAGTCAAAAATGGCTATACCATCCCCTTCCTGGGCTCGCCCCCTTCCAACCCGCCCCGTCCCTTTTCAGGGACATCTCTCACGAAGGCATCCTCCGTCAAGAGGTGTTAGCACTCCTGGAAAAGGGAGGCGTGGAGAGGGTACCTTCACATCTGAAGGGCAAGGGGTTTTATTCCTGGTATTTCATTGTCCCAAAACCGAAGGGTGGGGTTGGTCCCATCTTAGATCTCAGGGACCTCAACAAGACGGTGGTGAAATCCAAGTTCAGAATGGTAACCCTGGCCTCTGTTATCCTGGTTTTACAGTTAGGAGACTGGTACACAACTCTCGATCTCAAGGATGCTTACTTCCATGTGGCAATAAGACCCAGCCACAGGTGGTTTCTCCGTTTTATTGTTTCCTGATGCCACTTCCAATTTACAGTGCTCCCATTTGGCCTTTCAACAGCACCCAGGGTCTTTATAAAATGCATGGTGGTCATAGTGGTGTTCCTCCGCAAAAAGGGGTACACGTCTTTCCGTACCTAGACGACTGGCTGATTCGTAGTCGTTCCTATGAACAGGTGGAGGCCCATGTTTCCCTCACAAGGGCCGTCTTCGTAAGGCTGGGACTTGTGCTAAATGAGGACAAGTCATCGTTGACTCCCTCCAAGTACCTCGAATTAGTAGGTGCCCTCCTGGACACCGGGGTGGCAAGAGCACTCCTCCCCAGAACCAGGTTTCTGTCCATAGTGGAGCTGGTCTCCGAGTTAACCCGGTTCCCCATCACAACTGCCCAGGTCTGCTCGAGGCTGCTGGGACACATGGCAGCATGTACGTATGAGGTATGCCATTCTCAAATGAGGCTCAGGCCTCTGCAGGCCTGGTTGGCAAGGGCATTCAACCAGTCCAGAGGTCTTTGGGACACGGTTCTCACAGTGCCTCTGGAGGTGATAGCCTCCTTACAATGGTAGACCCAGGAGGCGGTGGTGTGCAGTGGGGTTTCATTCACTGCACCTCCTCCCTCGCTTACACTGGTCACAGGTGCTTTGGACCTGGGTTGGGGAGCACACCTGGCGTGTCACAGAACCCAGGGTTTGTGGTCCCCTGCAGAGCGGGCTCTGCACATAAATGTCCGGGAGCTCGGGGCAGTCAGAGCCTTCGAGACCTTCCTGTCGAAGCTGTCTCGCCACCCTGTCCTGGTCCACCTGGACAACATGGTAGCTGTGTTTTACCTCAACAGGCAGAGGGGGAGCCCAGTTGCCTCCCCTCTGCCGCGAGGCTCTGTGCCTCTGGGAACTGTGCGTAGCTCACGACATAGTTTTGCAGGCAGAGTACCTGCCAGGGTGCAAAAACTTGCTGGTCGATGCTCTGAACGGTTCCTTCAGAGCCCACGAAGGGATTCAGACAGGTCTTCCACAGGTGGGGTTGCCTCAGCACGCAACACCAAGTGCCAGAGTTACTGCTCCCTGTTGGGGCTGGGGGAACACTCCAGGGGGGATGCCATGACCGTGCCGTGGCTGGCGGGCATCCTCTATGCTTTCCCTCCGTTTCCCCTAATTCTCAGGGTTCTGACCAGGGTCAAGACCTTCAGGTCCACGGTCATCTTGATAGCCCCTCGGTGGCCCAGGCAGTTCTGGTTCCCTATCCTGGTGGATATGCTCAGCGAGGAGCCTATAAAGCTCCCGCCGGTTCAAGATCTCATGACACAGCCCTAGGACAGGGGCCTCATGGTTCACCCGAATCTCCGCTCTCTCCACCTAACGGCCTGGTTTATCTGTGGCTGACCCAACCGGAAAGGGAAAGTTCCCAGGAGGTACAGATGGTGCTCCTAAGGTAGTAGAAAACCATTTACCAGGCGGTCATACACAGCCAAGTGGCTGCAGTTCTCATCTTGGGCATCCAGAAAGGAGTGCACCCATCTTGTGTACCTGTCCCATTCATTCTGGACTACTTTTTTGAGCTTGGGTCCAGTGGCCTTTCTATCTCCTCTATCAAAGTCTATGTGGCATCTCTCTCCGCCTTCCATGTTGGTTCGGCAGGAGTGTCTCTGTTTTCTGACCCTGTGGTCAACAGGTTCCTTAAGGGTTTGGACAAGTTGTACCCCTTGATTTAGACCCCCTCTCCCTGATTGGGACCTTAGCCTCATGTTTTCTAGACTTGTGTCGCCCCTCTCCCCTTTGAGCCGCTGGCCACATGTTCTTTGAAGCACCTCTCTATGAAGGTTGCATTCATTGTGGCCATTACGTCGGCTCGCAGGGTCTCTGAGCTGAGGGCGTTAATTGTAAACTCACCCTACCTAGTATTCTCGGACAATAATGTGACGCTCCACCCTCACCCGGCCTTTCTCCCCAAGGTGGTGTCACTGTTCCATCTGTCCCAAGAAATTTACCTCCTGGTTTTCTTTCCAAAGCCCCATGCCTCCCCTAGGGAGCAAGTGCTCAATTCCCTGGATGCAAGATGTGCGCTAACTTTTTATATTGATAGGACTAAACCCTTTCACGAATCCACACAATTGTTTATTGCTGTTGCTGACAGAATGAAAGGGCTCCCCATATCGACACAGAGGTTGTCCAATTGGGTCGCAGGGTGTATCAGGGAGTGTTATGCGTTGGCTGGGAAGGTCCCGCCCTGGGTTACAGCACATTCCACCAGGGCGCAGGCATCCTCTGTAGCTTTTGGGGCACAGGCTCCAATCACTGAAATCTGCAGGGCGGCCACATGTTCGTCGCTCCATGCCTTTACGGCGCACTACGTACTGGCACAGCAGGCTAGGAAGGACGCAGGATTGGGATCTGCGGTCCTCAGCTCTGTATTGTAAATATGTTTGTTTTATCTGTACCACTTTGCACTTTTCTACAGTTTTTCTGTGTTCACTTAGTTGAATAAATTTGTTTGGGTTCTTCATCTTTCATGGATTTCTCTTTCTAAGTGCTCTGACTCCTCCTCCTTGAAGTGGGGTTGACTTGGAAATCACCTAATTCGAATGGACATGAGCAACCACTCGAAGAAAAGAACGGTTACTTACCTGTAACTGTTGTTCTTCGAGATGTGTTGCTCATGTCCATTCGATCCCCCCCCCACCACCTCCCCTTCGTCGGAGCGTCCGACAAGAAGGAACTTAGGTGGGGGAGCGCCTGCATGGGTACTTATGCTCCTCCATGGCGGCGCCACTCCAAGGGGTGCCCTGCCGGCGCTACGGGTACTGCTAGGGAAAACACTCTAGAAGATGCGGCGCATGCGGTGTGCACACCTAATTTGTTTAATTCAAATGGACATGAGCAACACATCTCGAAGAACAACAGTTTCAGGAAAGTAACTGTTCTTTTCTTCGAGATGTGTGTCCCTGTGGGTGCTCCACTACCCTCCTGTTCTCCCCTCTGCTTGGAGTCTACAGGGACTACAGGTAGAAATGGAACAGACAGGACTCATGCCGCACGCGCACTCCACAGACTGGGGGTGGGGGGGGCGCTGAGTGCGCAGGCGCAGCTCAAGGGGCACTGCTCACAAAAATCTCCAATCCCCGGCGTAGGTATGCACCAAGACCTGAGTGGAGCACCCACAGGATCACACATCTCGAAGAACTATGGTTATTGCACAGGGTGAATAACTACTTCTGTGAACTGATTAAAGCTTAAAAATTCTGTTCTGTTCTGTTAAAGATATTAAACTGCTAACTATTAAAAATTGTCATTTTTGTTTAACTGTCTCATTTACAAACTTTTATATTGACAGATTATGAGACTGTTGCTGAAAAGGCTAGTAAAGTGGAAAATGAAGTTAAAAGATTACATAATCTCATAATTGAGATCAATAATCATAAACTTAAAGCTCAGCAAGACAAACTTGATAAGATAAACAAGGAAATAGATGAATGTTCTTCTGCTATAACTAAAGCCCAGGTAGCAATCAAGACTGCAGACAGGTAAATGCTCTTATGTGCTCAAGTTAAAACATACCAGCACTGATCCTCTAGTGATATAGTGCTTTTATCTTGCTCATTTTGCAAACATGAATGAATCTCTTATTTTTCAGGTTTGTCAGCTTAGGGGTTATGACTCCTTCTCTTTTTTTTTATGGCTAGAGGGAAGGTAGTTGGAAGGGGCATGCACTTTCTCTTTTAACATGGGGTTGACTGATATAAAAGAGAGTAAAAACCACTAACAAACAGGTTGTTAATATACAGTAAACTTCCGGTAATCTGGCACCTTTAGGACCCAGGGGGTGCCAGATTATCAAATATGCCGGACTATCGGAAGGGGGGCAGGGTCTATGAGGGGTCTGGGGTGGCATCCACCCCACCCCAGACTCCTCATAGCCACCCCTTCCAATAGTCCAGCATATCTGATAATCCGGCACCTTTAGGGATAATCCGGCACCCCCTGGGTCCTAAAGGTGCCGGATTATCGGAAGTTTACTGTAGTTTATATGATACTTTTAGCGCAATTTGATATCAAATATTATCCCTAAGAAATTAAACCTTTTAATAATATCTGTTTGTTCTCCATACACACATAGCTTACATTCCTTTGTCACTGTCCTTTTTTGTATAGAATAGTAATTTGGTTTTGACAGGGGAGAATATGGAAATTTGCATTTCTGAAGGTAAAACTCTCTTGTAACACTATTGATTCTCTTTTCTGTCACCTCAGTTGTCCTGCGTTGAACACATAGGGTGTGTCTAGACTACAGGGTTATTTCAAACAAAGTACCCTTCCCTTGCATCTAGACTGCTGCCACATTATTTTGAAAGTAAATGGAAAGAACGCGGCCATTTTTATAACAGTGGAAAAACTCATTTTACGAGAAAGAACGCCTTTTTTCAAAAGTGCTCTTTTGAAAAAAAGCGCTATGTAATGCAAACTGGGGGACGCCTGAGGCAGAGCAGCTGGGGTGCTTCCGGGCCAGTCCCGTAGCGCCACCCCTTGGCACTGGAGGACCAACCTGAGAGCACCCCAGCTGTTCTGCCCCCTGGCTTCTCTGATTCAGCCGCTGGTCAGTTTCAGCAGCAGCTGAATCGGGGAAGCCGGGGGCAGAGCAGCTCCAATGATCCGGCTGCCCGGAGCACTTCCGGGTTCCTGATGGTGCCGGACCATCAGATGCCAGACCAATGGAGTTTTACTGTACTTGCTTTTAGAAAAAAACTGAGGTGCAGATGTAAAGTGAACATTTATGGCCGCAGGAGTGAGTCATTTTTAGAGTCAATTAGACTTAAATTCTTTAGTTCCCAGTCTTGTGTTTAATTTATGGCAAAGATTTTAATGCCTTTGATAGGAATAGAAAAACATCCTTCAGCTGGAGCTAAGCTTTATAAACTCTTCACCAGCTTGTGTAATCTATATTAATTTATGGTAATTCATCATTTGTGTAGATGTGACTAGTGTCGTTAATGCCTGTAGCACACTCACTAGCCAAAAGATCGTTGGCTTAAACGTCTTTGAATTCAAGATGTTAATGTCTCCCAGTTGTTGTCCTCAGACCAAACATAACAGCCTCATAGAAGAAAATGTAAATTTTGTAACTTGTTAAATCAATGATCTTTTCGTTCCTTCAGACAAACTGCAACCTCGGTAGTTTTTTCTATAATAATTTTCCCATAATGAATGAACATACAAAACTTTAAGATGCAAGTTCAAAATTGCACTTTAACAACTGAAATCTGAAGAGTGATATTTTGCTGACCTCTGCCAGGAAAGAAAAACTGGATATATGTTGTATACTAAGCAGTTGATAAGAAATGCATATGCCAAATGTCAGACTCTTAATTCAGTGAGACTGCAAGTTAAGTAATCCTATTCTAAGCATCTGTTGTAGATACAGATTCAGGAAGGAAGATCCAATTTATTGTAGTATTTTGCAGGGAGTAAGAAATTGGGAATATCAATAATAATAAGGTGATCCTTACCTGTTGATGATTACAAAGAACTAATTGTCCTTTTCAGATCTTTAAATGTTTACCATAATTGAACATACTAGTATGCAGGACCATCCCAAGGAAGGTGCGGGGCCAAGGACAGGACATGCTTCCACTCCCTCCCACCTATTCTCACCCCACTCCCCTGAGCGATGCAGCCCACTGCAAATGAGTACAGGGGGTGGTTCCACCCTGTCCCTCAAGCCCCTCTCCCCTGAGCAACGTGGATGGGAGTCAGAGAAACCAAGAGGTCTGGAGCTAGGTCAATCAACTTCCAAACACCAGTGAGTGCAGCAGCAGCAGGCCCCACCCTTGCTGCTGGTGCCAGGCTCCCAAACTGCTCCTGAGCCCTCTGGGGCCTGAGGCAGTTGCCCCAAATCATCCAGTGGACAAGATGGCTTTGTTAATATGCAAACATCTTAAATACCTACTTTATTCAGAAACCTAAAAAAATCAGAAGAATCTGTTCTTCGCACTGAGAAGGAAATTGGTGATAATGAAAAGGAAATGAAAGAGCTAATAGAAGAGTTAACAATATTGGAAGAGAAAGCTACTGAAGTTATGAATAACTGCAAACAAGCTGAAGTAAGTGTAAAATTGGTTTTTTGTGTCTCTTCTGAAAGAATGTACTTCACAGAATGTAACTTTCTACAGGCAGAGATTATGGATGAGAAGGCTTGCGATTTTATCAGATTATTGTGACAAGCAGATTTTCACTACATGCTAGTTTATTTTCTTAGCCATTGACATCTAAGGTGTAGGCATAAGAATACCAAAAGGGGTTGCAAGTTTATCAAGAAATGTATTTATGAAAGAAGATATGTAAGCCTCAAATTTGGGTCAAAATATGGGAAATGTATTTTTTCTTGTAAAAAGTCTTCCACGCTTCTTCCTATCTTCCAAAAATCCAATTAAGGCTTAAACACATGCAAACAAGAAATCAAGTTGGGGAAATGGTCGTCTTGATTTGTTTAAGTGTAACCTAGAAGGCAAGGCCTGTATGTTATATATAGGACCCTACCAAATTCATGGTCCATTGTGGCCAATTTCATGGCCGTAGGATTTGAAAACTGGAACATTTCACATTTTTGGCTATTTAAACCTGAAATTTCAAAGTATTGTAACTATGGGATGCTTCCAAAAGAAAGTCTTGGGAGAGGTCACAAACCTGTTTTAGGGGGTCAGAGGATTGCTACCCTTCTGTGCTGCCTTCAAAGCTAGATTTTGAAGGCAGTAACCACAGAGCCCCCTACAGCTGTACAATGTACCAAGAGGTTGAGGTGCGTCTGATCTCTGCTGTGCTACTGAGTGCCCCAGCCAGTGGCTTTTAGGTGCTAGTCCTGGCCAACTTTGGAAGGACGATATTTGCACTTTCTCTTCATGGCTGCTCTTTAGTATCTCTCCGTTGCAGAAAGCTCTGCATCCCTGGTCCCATGCTCATTTCTTGCCCCCATCGCTCTGCAGAGGGGGAGGGGTCACAGTGTAAGGTGTGCCCTCCCTACCAGATGCAGTTATTTGCTCATTTCAGTAAGATTACGGTCATATGAACCTTGACAGGATTTATTGAAACTTCACAGCACCAAATAACAAGCAAGGTGCTGCAAGCATCCCAGGAAACATCTGATTCAAATGTCTCTTGCAGCTGTAGGAACCTCAGATAGCTTCCCAGTCCCAGAGAGCATCCTGTAGCAGGGGGAGGCACCTGGAGGTGGATCTGGCCCCTCTCCCTCCAGTAGCTATGAAGGAGCTAGCTTAGTCTGAGCTAGGAGCCCCCTTTGATGCAGTGCTCCCAGTATCCATGGGGAGATACAGTTCAACTCCACAAAATCTCCAGCTGCAGGAACCTTAGACTGCTGCCCAGTTCCAGAGCATTTTGCAGCAGGCACACAGAAGTGGGTCAGGTCTAGTCTGGTCCATCCCTCCCCTGACTTCCATAATACAGTAAAATGTAACACCTTTTGGTAGGAAAAACATCACAGCAGCTCAACACTGTGGCATTTAATTTTAGAAAGGGGAGCTATACAAAAATAAGAGTAGTTAAATAGAAATTAAAAGGTACAGTGCCAAACGTGAAATCCCCATAAGACACCATAATACAGGCTCAACTTAGAAGTATTCCTCCCACCTCACCCCAAAAAAACACAGGAAGAGAACCAAAAAAGTACCACTTTGTCTTAACATCCAAGTAAAAGAAGCCGTGAGAGATTAAAATAATCATTGTTTAAAACATGGAAGTTAAATTCTAGTAAAGAAAATTAAAAGGAGCATAAACTCTCTGTAAAATGAAGTGTAAAAAATATAAGTAAAGCAAAAAAGGAATTTGAAGAACAGCTTGCCAAAAACTCAAAGTAATAGCAAAACTTTTTTTTAGTACAGCAGAAACAGGAAACCTGCTAAACAACTTTTGGGACCATTGGACAATCCTGATGCTAATGGAGCACACTTGAGGACAATAAGGTCATTGCAGACAAGCTAATTAATTCTTTGCCTCCATCTTCATGGCTCAGGATGTTAGGGAGATTGCCAAACCTGAGCTATTCTTTTAAATTAGCAATCTGGGGAATTGTCCCAGATTGAGGTGTCATTAGAAGAGGTTTCAGAACAAATTGATAAACTAAAGAGTAACAAGTTACCGGGACCAGGTCCCATCAATGCTTATTAGCCAGCGTAGTAGGAATGGTGTCCCTAGCCTCTGTTTGTTAGAAGCTGGGAATGGGTGATGGGAGAGATCTTACTTGATAATTACCTGAGCTGTTCATTCCCTTAAGAGCACCTGGCATTGGTCACTGTCGGAAGACAGGATACTAGGCTAGCTGGACCTTTGGTCTGACCCAGTATAGCTGTTATGTTCACTGAGCAGTGAGCAGTAAGGGTGCAAAGGTTTAACCAGTTACCCGTTAAGCATGCCCCTTATTAGCATACTTATTTGGTTAACTTGTTAACTGGGAAGGGGCTGAAGCAGGTGTGCCTAGCCTGACAAGAGCAGCTCCCACCCTATGTAAGGTGTGCTGTGCTCGATCCAACCTGGCCTGAGCAGCCCCTCTTCTACAGCATGCCACAGACATGGGGCTGGACTAACGGCACCACATTGCAGACCCGGTTCAGAGGTGGAGGGCTGCTCCAGCCCTGCCAGGCCAAATGTGCCACTAGCAGGAGCCGCTGCAGCCGAGGTGGAGTAACCCCTTGCTGCAGTTAAATATTTTGTTTAACCAGTTAACCTTCTAACCCAGATGTTTGTCTCTAGAGTACAGCAGAGGAACAAGTCTTATCCCTCCTCTGCACAGTTAGAGCTAGAAGCCCCCTTTTCTAGGGCACTCCTAAGAACAAGGAGACATCAGATTTCACAGGGAAGGGCTTATTTCAGTCTGAGATGGGTTTTTCATGGCCATGAAATTGGTAGGGCCCTAGTTATACAATAACAAAGGCATGCAAGAAGCAGCATAATTGTCGTCTTAAATTGCTGCATAAATTGGCAAAAAGGATGCTGTCTGTCTTCAATACACTTTTTTTTCAAGAGGGAGTGTTGCATTGCCTGCCTTTACTGAATATCGTCCCACAGATCATGAGAGAGCAAATGTCTGATGTTCCCAAGAGCAAAGCAGCTTCTATGAGACCCTACCTAGGGAACTGACTGTCTTCAGTGATAATCAAGATCTGCAAATTCAAACACAGATTTCAAGACATACTTTCAGAGTGGTATTATTCAGATTCAAAAGCTTAGGTTATAACAAATGCTAGTAAAGTGTATATTCAGATTTTGATTACTACTTATTCAACACTATTGGAATTATAACAGAAACTTTTTAAAATTATAGGACAGGCAATGCAAGCTTTTCCTAAATAACTAACTGATTTTGACCTTCATATTTTTTTGTTTCTACTTAGGAGTCATTACCAGAGGTTCAGGAGGAGCATCGCAGTTTACTTCAAAAGATTAAAGCAATTCAAGAAGATGAACATGCTCTTCAAAAAGAGGCTCTTAATATTAGACTTAAAATTGAACAAATAGATAGTCACATTGGTGAGCATCAATCAAAGATTAAATATTGGCAAAGAGAGGTAAGATATTTAGTACTTAATTTTTGGATTTTTTTTGTTTGTTTCATATTTAAGAGATTAAACTCAGTGTGATGATACTTTTCTTGCCTGATAAATGGGTGAATGTAACTAAAAGGGTTTTTTAATTGACATTAAAAGGCCTTTAGCATAGAGTATATTTTCTTGAATGTGATGGCTCTGAAAAGCAACTAAAAATGGCACCTTCCTTTTCAACTTGAGTTAATTTTATCATTGTTCGTTTGAGAGCGAGCACATCTGTTGGTAGATAGCATAGCATCTCTATCTCTACTCCACACATACTTTTATTTATGAAAAAATATCACCAGCTATTACTGACTTAGCATCTATCCTGAAACTATCAAGAGTTATGGTTAAAAGATACCTGGATTAGGCGCTCCAGTCGAGTTTCTATGCACCAGCACCCTGATGCAAGTTGATAAAGGTGTGGCTGATGTTCCTTGGAACTATTGAGCCAATGCAATGGACAAAAGATGGGGAAGTGGTTTGGTTCCAAATACTTCCTGGAGTGAAATCACAGTGAAGGCTGTGGTTTCCAACCAGTTCTGAAGCAGTAGACATTATAGTGCTGTCATGAACTAGCCACACTCAGACAGCCAACTAGCCACATTGTTCTAGCCAACTAGTTGCACTCAACTGGCCAAATAACCAAATGTGGCTAGTGTGTTGGACACCATGGAGTTAAGGGTTCCAGCTCATCCTAAAATTCTGGGATCTAAATCAATTCAAGGTTCAAGAAAAACCTCAAGATGGTCACTTGGAGAGCTATTATGTCTCTTCCAGAGGCAAATAACTGTCTATGCAAACTAGACCTGGTGGATGGTTATAGGAAAATAAGGATGCTTCCCAGACACTGAAAGTAACCCGAAATTCATTGTATGAGACTAAAACTACCAATTTCCTCATTGAGATGATTGTCTGCTCCATATTTCCATGATACAGTAAAACCTGCACTATCCAGAACTTAAGCATCTGGAAAACTGTAGCAAATTTCTGATGCCGGGAAAAGCAAAACGAACAAAAAGAAAGGAAACTGGCGCCTTTAAGTGCTGAGCCACTCCTCAGATAATCATGCAGCATGTACCTGGAGGAGAGGTGAACAGCAGCTGGAAGCAAGCAGCAAGCATCTCAGCTCCCCCCTTAGCTCCTGGCACCCCAGGCAGGCCAGCTCCCACCCCACCCCCTGCAGCTCCCCCAGTGCCCCCCCCCGGGACAGGCCAGACCCCTGGCTTCCCCCTCACCCCAACAGACTGCATACCCACCCCCCTTGCTGGG